TTACAATTTGAGATAGCATTTTGGAAATAATTTTTCTTTGCCTGTTCTACTAAAAATGTGACCTTATTACGCAAAATTTTATAATTATATATATCCCCAATTCTATGAAAATAATCTCTTTGGTGTCTAGCGCTATTTATATCAGAAGTCCACCACTCTGGTTGTTGAGTATTTTTCACCCTTTTAATTTTCTTAGGAGCATGCTTGTCTAGGGTGCTCAGAAATAGATTATACCAATAATTAGCTGCTTCATCAACATCTCCAATCGATTCAATGAGATGAAAAGGAGTATTTGTTAAATTTTCAATAAATTTATTTTTATCAAATTGTTTGAATGATCTATATTCTATGGACAAATGCTCCATCTTTGATATTTTTGGGTTAAGTTTTCTTGTTACGCAAACAGGATAATGATCACTGACAGCATAACTAGGCACATTTACTTCTGTAATATGGTCTACATCGGTAGTATAAATATGGTCTATAGTAGTTACACATTTATCTGTAACTCTTGTGGGTTTATGTACAATTTGTTGTAAACCATACAAATTAATACAGTCCTTCCATTTTTGATTTCCGACAACTGTATGATCTATATGTGAATAGTTTATATTGAAATCTCCTAAAAGTATAATTTCTTTATTTTCTGCTGACGCTTTTTCTATTTCTTTTTCAACTGAATCAATCCAAAATTGCAATGAACTCGGTGGACGATAAAAAAATGCCTATTAAAATAGAGTTTGTGTTTGGAAAAATAATTTCAATCCATAAAGATTCAATACTACCTATTTCTAAATCGATTCTTCTCTGGTGACATACACTATTTCGTATGTACGCAATCACACCTCCGCCATCATTAATAGCGTTTCTATCTTTTCTTTCTATTTTGTAACCTTCAATTTGTAATGTTTCGGTACCAATTTCATCATTTAAAAATGTTTCTACCATACCAAATATATCAAATAATTGTTCATATTTTAATAGGAATTTTATTTCTTCAATTTTGGGTTGTAAATGTTGAATATTTAAACAACCTAGTTTAAACCCTTTTTTAAGTAACCAACTTGCTTCATTATTTCTACTTCTATTTACAGAACAATGTGTTTTATTTTTACTCTTTCTATTTCTCTTTTGAGATTTTCCCCAATTAATATTATTAATGTTGTTTATATTACATGTACATTGTATACTACTACATTGATCACATAACAGATTTAAAATATTATATCTGTTTGAAAAATTAGAACAAGCTAAATGCTACCTCTGAATATACTCTGACTTACGTACAGAATTTGGTAAATGGAAGTCAAAAAATGGTGCTCTATCTACATTTTGTCTATTTAGCGCATTATTGTTTCCCCACGAGTCACAAGAGTTCATATTGAGATCATTCCTGTCCTTTACGTTTTTAGTGTTGACTCCTGAATGGTTGAAATTTCTTCTGCTTTCTGTTGTGTTCATGTTACTCCATGATTGATATCTTGGTTTTATAGGGCTCCTTCTGAAGTTGTTTGTGTAATATTGGTGACCGGAACTTTGGAATCTATTTCTGTTTTGTTGGTTCAAATGATACTGTTGTGGTTTTCCCTTGAATACTTTAATTATTTTATTTACATTTGTCAACAGCTTTATTGTTCCATATCTATTTAGATGAATGCCATCTAAAGTGTAAAATGATTTAGCTATATGATCATCCTTGTAGACAAAAGATTCATAATTTGATATAAATTTGACATCATTATGATGACACATTTGTTTTAGGATTGTGTCATATTCAGTGACATCACATTGTATCCTTGGCAATATTCCAGACACAATTGCTCGACAGTTTTGACTTCTTACATAGTTAATAATTTCTTGGTAAATGTCCACAAATTGTTGTACATTCATTTTGCTGCTTGCATCATTGCCCCCGACATGAATAATCATTGTATTGTATGAACTCAGATCCATACTTCTTATGTCATCGTACAAATCTAGAACATTTGCTCCTCTGTGAACATGAACATCTATATACTCTTTTAATTAAGATGGGTTTATTCCTTTTAGAACTGAACTTCCTGCAATTAAAACTCTACTTCCTGATAAAGGCAGTTTCAGTTGTGTGTCATTCACAGGATTTTGTGGTTCTTTAATTAAATCAGCATTTATTGGCTGTTCTGTTTGAAAGATAAGCTGTTCTTGTTCATGTATAGGTTCTTGTAATAAATTTTCAAATGTTGTTTTTGGAATTGTTTGATCTTCATCTAACATTTGGGTACATTGGTTACTGAGATTTTCCACCTGCGTAAAGCTTTTTTGTAATTTAACTGTTTCCGCTTCGTAGAGTTTTATTTTATCACTTATGCTCTGTGTTTTTCCTTGTAACATGTTAACTTTTTTATCAAAATTTTTATTAACATTTTGAATTTCTACTTCAATATCCTGCATTTTATCCATTGACTGTTGATCATGTTGCATGCACACCTTTGCCAAAGCTGTCATGCGATCATTTAAAATTTGCATACTACTCGCATACGGCCTTCAACAATAAGAAAACCCATACCGTATAGTTGGCTATAAAAGGCCCCAACATGAAAAATATGAAACAATTCAATTGAGAAAAACTAACAGCCTAATTTATAACAAAACAATTTACAAAAAACAAATATGGCAGACATGAACCATCGACAACCACTGAACTACAGGCTCCTGACTTGGAACAGGCACATAAGAATGTGGTGGAGTTAAACATGTTTATGAGCGCTCAACCCTACCCCTAACCTGGGACAGTGGTGTAACAGCACAACATAAGAACAATTAAACTATAAAAATCAGTTAAAAAAGTTATGTCTTGTTTTAGATTATAAATCAGTTAGTGAATTGATATTCATCTCCAAGAAAAGAACCAACATAATTATTGAACACACATATCTAATCAAACAACAGTATAAAACTATAACCTTTATGAATAAGTCATAAGAAAAGATTTATCAAAGGACAATTTCTCAACTTGTTGGCTAAATTAATGATTTTGTAATCCTCTGGCAATAGGGAAAAAATGTCTTTCAACTGCTTATATTGTCACATAGAATAAGAACTGAACGCGGTCGTTACTGGGACACTCCCTGACATAACACAATTTGTCTCCAGTACACTGCCATTAGGAATATATAATGATTTAGTTTCCTGTATATGTATCCTAAGAGCAATATGCTAGGATGTCGGAATTCCAATTAAACTTTTATCAAATCTTCACTGCCTAATTCCATTATTCAATTTTTGTCTCGCCTTGACAGAGTCAAAAAGCGAGACATAGGTATGCTGTTTCTGGCGGTGGCAGCGTCAACAATGTATTAGTTTGTGATTAGGTCTAGTTCATGATGAACCACTAATGGTAGGTCAATGATATTTGGTATGCTGTTGTATCAGCATTGGCACATCTCATTACCATGGAGATTATTTGGCCCCGCCCCCTCAGTCAAGTTCTATTGACTTTGAAACTTTGCTTTGTTTACATGTATTAGTTTGTGATAAGGTCAGTTTATGGGGAACCACTAATGGTAGGTCAATGATATTTGGTATGCTGTTGTATTAGCATTGGCACATCTCATTACCATGGAGATTATTTGGCCACGCCCCCTCAGTCAAGTTCTATTGACTTTGAAACTTTGCTTTGTTTACATGTATTAGTTTGTGATAAGGTCAGTTTATGGGGAACCACTAGTGGTAGGTCAATGATATTTGGTATGCAGTTGTATTAGCATTGGCACATTTCATTACCATGGAGATTATTTGGCCCCGCCCCCTCAGTTGAGGTCTATCGACTTTGAAACTTTGCTTAGTTTACATGTATTAGTTTGTGATTAAGTCAGTTTATGGGGAATCACTAGTGGTAGGTCAATGATATTTGGTATGCAGTTGTATAAGCATTGGCATATCATATTTCCATGGAGATTATTTGGCCCTGCCCCCTCATTCATGGTCTATTGACTTTGAAACTTTTGCTTAGTTTTCATGTATTAGTTTGTGATTAGGTCAGTTTAAGGGGAACTGTTAGTGGTAGGTCAATGATAATTGGTATGCAGTAGTATAAGCATTGGCATATTTCTTTGAAACTTAATGACATTTGTTTCTGTATGTAATGTCATTAGAGATGGGTTGTGGGTAACTCAAGAACGGTAAAAGTGACGCTACCCAAATTCAAACTTGGTGGTAATAAGCATTTTGTATAAGTTCCAGTCTTCCAGATCATTTGGTTGTGGCAAAGAAAAGTTAGAGAATGGAAACCAATATCAGGACTTACAGGACAAGGGTAAACCTTAATGCCCCTTCCACAGTGGGGGCATAATAATAGATGTGTGCAAGACAATATTACTGGCTAGAATCATAATTTATTAGGGGCTGACAGGTATGTGATGTTGCTCACTAAAGGTTCTTTAATTTCAATATAGATGAAAGACTTAAAAATATTTCAACAGCATAAGTAAAACCATAAGTAACTTAAAGGCCCAAATTAAAACCCTAAGTTTTATTGTTATATGAAGACACTTATTCTTTTTTTGACATCATAATTTCAATTAAGGTGCCTGTCAAATGTGTGGAAAATTTTATTTCCTATGTTAAATCATTGACTTTTTCATATATGAGTATGGTCTAATAAAAATTTGATGATTATTCACCTCTTTAAATAAAAGGTATGCTTTCCGGAGGCAGGTTTTTCTCGCTGCATTGAAGACGAATTGGTGGCTTTGGGCTGTTTTCTGCTGCTTGTTTGAGTTGTTGTCTCTTTGACACATTCCCCGTTTCCATTCTCAATTCTATTTCAAACAATTTTTAAATGAAAGTCTTATAGAACATTTAGATAATGTCTTTTATTGAAGACTGTATGTCGACCTTTACTGAGCTCAGAATCCAGCTCTAGATGTCTTTCCCTGTCTTATTATATTGTTTGGTTTGCTGTCTCACTGACATATATATGATCAACCTTCAAATCTCATTGTATTAATATGCAACAAACATAAGATAACATATTTTATTTCAACCTAAATAATCAATTTAAGAAAAGCACATTAAAAACATTTAAAAATATCTAGAAAAAACTTATGATAATTAATTTTCACAATATTGAGATGATAAGAAACAGAGGAATAAAGAGATTCAACTAGAAACTGAATTTTTAAGTCACTGTTCCATTATAGCAATATAATGCTCCGCTGGGCGCATCTTGATACGACCGCAAAGGTCGAACCCTGAACAGTTGGGGCAAGTATGGACACAACATTCAAGCTTGATACAGCACTGAATTTGGATTGTGATTAAGTATTTGACACAGCATAGGTTTCTGACACAGAATGAATGTGGTCTAAGAACTTAAAAAATTTTAATTTACCTATTCAAACCATATCATTATTATTTGCTTTTATATATAAATCAGAAATAACCAATTTAAAATGGAAAATTTAAAAGAAAAAAAAAGGAAAAAAAGTCCCCCCCCCGTAATTTTTTGAACCCCTAATGATTCATCACCCCCAAACTCAATCCCAGCCTTCCCTTTGTGGTATGGTACCTTGCAGAACAATTTCAGAGAGATCCATACACTTGAACACAAGTTATTGTCTGGAAACTAGAAAAATGCTTGTTTTTTGTCTCTTTTTGGCCCCTAATTCCTAAAATTTAGAGGGAATTACCCCCAAAATCAATCCCAGCCTTCCCTTTGTGATATGGAACCTTGTAGTACAATTTCAGAAAGATCCATACACTTACACACAAGTTATTGTCATGAAACTAGAAAAATGCTTGTTTTTTGCCCCTAATTCCTAAAATTATGAGGCAATTACCCCCAAAATCAATCCAAGCTTTTCCTTTGTGATATGGAACCTTGCATTCCAATTTCAGAGAGATCCATACACTTGAACACAAGTTATTGTCTGGAAACTAGAAAAATGCTTATTTTTGGCCCCTTATTCCTAAACGTTTCGGGCAATTACCCCTAAACTCAATTCCAGCTTTCCCTTTGTGAAATGGAACCTTGTAGTACAATTTCAGAAAGATCCATAGACTTACACACAAGTTATTGTCATGAAACTAGAAAAATGCTTGTTTTTTGCCCCTTTTTTGGCCCCTAATTCCTAAAATTTTGAGACAATTACCCCCAAAATCAATCCAAGCATTTCCTTTGTAAAATGGAACCTTGTGGTACAATGTCAGAGAGATCCATACACTAACACACAAGTTATGTCTGGAAGTTACAAAAATGCTTATTTTTGGCCCCTTATTCCTTAACTGTTGGTACCATAACCCCGAAAATCAATCCCTGTCTTCCTTTTGTGGTATTGAACCTTATGGTAAAATTTCATAGAGATCCATTCACTTAAACTAAAGTTTGAGTGCGAAGACCAATGTGTCTTCGGACGACGACAACTGACGACAACGAAGCCAATGTCATACCAATATACGACCGCAAAAATTTTTTTGCGGTCGTATAATAATGATAAATCTTTAAAAGGAAATCCTTAAAATAGCTGAAATTCATGGAACCATGAAAATTTATAACAAGAAAATGAAATAAATTTGAAGAATACAAAACAAATCCATATAAACCTGACCTTATCCTCCAAAAAGACACCTCTCATAGATATCACTGACAATTGGTGTTTAGTAAGTAAAAAAAAAAAAAATTTCAATCAACTCCAAAGGTCTACAAATCAGGTGATTATTCTCATGATTGTGTTAAAAAAACTTTTTTCATTTAGTTACTAAGATGGTTGAATATGAAAATATCTATCATTTATTGCCCTCCTCAAAATAAACACAACAAAACATAAACAAATGCATACAAATAAAACACAGAATATGGTTACTTGCCCTATCTGTATGGAGGTAAGGTAAAAAAATACAAATTTAAAACAGCATAACAAAACAAGTTGTTTCAAAATATTTTATGGACAGGAATCTTTGCATAATGATTTTCTGAAGATCTTACTTTAAATGCACGAGACAAATATGAAATAAATAAAATTCTATAAAAATACATTGAACAGTACAATAAGATGTACAGCCATGCTTGAAAATATTTTTATACAGAGATTTTGACCAGTTGTGACATTCAATTCCAGGAATTTCTTGTACAAATATACAATGTAAAATTTTCCTAGATATAACCACCAAACGTTTACTTCTGTTATAACTCTACAGAATATCTGATTTAGAGTAGCGCACATGAGTAAAGCCAAATATAACAGGGATAGATGCATAGTACAACCATCCTAAATTTATATATAAATCTAAGTGAATGACAGTTGTGCAAATGATTGTTGCCAAAAGTGGTTCCAATTAGTCTTGTGGTTTCTGAGGAGTGACTGCTCTTAAAAGCTTATTAATGCCATATGATGTCCAGGGCTAAACAAATCTTCACAAAAGTTTCAATGTTAACATTTGTTTGCCAATCTGGACATCACATGGCATACATGAACTTTTTAGAGCTTTTACTCCTCTGAGTACACAGACTAATTGGAACCACAATTGACAACATTTACCCGTAGAATGTCTTATTTCTTGTATCTGATGCTTCTTATTTCTTTCTTTGTTTAGATTTTAGATCACACAACTTATGACTTTAATAATTGAGGGATGTAGGTATCAAAGTTGATCTTTATAAATCATGAAATCTCCAGATCTTGACTTAACCAGGGCTAAGAATTTCTTTCATGGCTATTTTTGTTACTACATTTAATTTTTTTTCAATAAGCAATTGAAAATCTGGTAATTTTTAAAAATTTCCCTTAGACTTGAGGTCAGAAGGACCTATTGTAGTGTTTTTTTTTTCAGTCTGTACTACATCGAAAGTCATGGCAAATTGAATGTACAGTGCTAGCTCAAAAATGTTGCTGATTGCTGCAAATAATGTCATAAAACAGATTTATTTTTCTCATAATTCTTGAATTCTTTGTGAACAGTTACAAAGCAGAAAATGTGGTAGTTTTGATCTTAATGATAACCCTTAAACTTCTACATGTCAGATAGGTAATTTAATAAAATCTATCTTAAAAAAAAAAAACATGTTTAACTTATCAAAATTTTATATGAGTAAACCTTGTTACCTTATATGTCAGTTTAAAGTTTGATGAATTTATTTGTAAGAAAAACACCTGACTAAACATCTGATGACAAAAAAAGCTTGAAATAGATATTGACAGAAATTTCAAATTTCTATATTATCGCAAAAACAATATATATTGCAATGTGAGCAATTAGAAATACCTATATACCCAAAATACAATTAGATGTTCCACAGGAACCAAATGATAGAAAAACAAAGGATATGGGGTATCCATCCATGACACAAAATCAGTACATGCACAGCAAATAAACACACACAAAAAAACATACAAAATATATTACAAAGTCTCAACCTATAAATTAATAAATAAATAAAAGCTACTTAACAAAGCAACTGTTTTAAAAAATTCTACATAATTATCAAACTTGAAACCATAAATATGTTAACAAATTTTCTTACATGAACAAGCTGTCACTGACTCATTGCACATTTCATGGTGTTTTTTGTTTGAAAATCTGTAAAAAAAGATCCATAATGAAAAGGTAAGGCAAACTACATGATGATTCAATAAAATGCTTATTAATTATGGTGACTATGTAAAACATCTTCAATTTCTGTTTTATTTCTATTCTGAGCCAATCAAATTGTCATCATTTGAAACCTGGTTAGTAGGCAACATTTGGCTTTTTAGATTGATACAGAAACATCAAAAACATTTCTGAATTGTTGAAAATGAAATTGCTTTAATGAAACAGCTAGATGATTTAGTTGACTATACTTCAGATTTACCAGAGTTTAACTGAGAAATTTTTATTGATTATTTTGTGTATTAAGGTAGATAGGGTGTCTTCCTCCATCTTGGATTTTCAAATACCAGAAAACAATCGGTCTAGATCTTTAATAAAAGGTGCAAATTTTGAGAGTAGTAGGTAATACATGTGTAAGAATTTTCAATTCAATATAGAAAATGACATATTTTATCATATTTATGGTTGTATTTTACTAAAAATCAGAATACTTTTGTTTGATTCTATTTTTTCCAACTTTGCCACATAAGGGGAGGCAACTCAAATGTAAGGGCAGATAATTCAGATAAAGTTACTTTTACAATAGAATGTGTTAGGAATTTACCTATTTTATTATGTAGCAAGAAAACGGGTCCCGTGACCCCATTTTTTCTTTTTCTTATCTGAAAGCATACTATTAGAGCTATCTTCTCTTATATTATCTCAAAATTCTATGGTGTAGTTTTCGTTTTATGGCAGAAAATTGGGTTTTCCATGCATAATCTATACAAAATCTGTCAATTTTGCACAACCTGTAGCGTGAAATAAGCCCCGTGACACATTCTTTTTATTATTTTTTTTTTAAAAGCATGATATAAACTACATTTTGGCAAATTATTAAAAAATTCTATGGATTATAATTTAGACACCCCATCTACCTTAATCAGAATTGAACGTTAACTGATTATGTGCAAAAATATTTATTAATTTAGATATATGATTTTTAATGTAAAATCAACATAGACCCTATCTACCACAGTATGATTTCTTTAAACAATTTTTTTTTTACAAATGGAATAGAATTTTACAGACAAAAAGTATTATTTTTAATAAATTAATGAAAAATTCTATAAATCCTGTAAAGGGGAATGTATGGCCACCTTTTCCAGCTCTTTCTCAAATAAGCAAATTCTCGAATTAACAAAGAACATTTAGATATGACATACACTGTAAGACAATTATTGACAAGATTCCTGAATTCAAGCATGCACAGGAATATGTGGTGGGTTAAACTAGTTTTTAACTCACTTCACAAAGCAACTATCTTAATTAGAAAAATGATTTGAAAATCAAAATAAATACGAAACTGATAGAGAAAACATGTCAGTCAGAGTTGTAAGGATAAACATTTTTTGCTTCTTCCCTTGCAATTGTTATACATGTGTATAAAATTTATATTTAATCATATGAAAACATTGATCTAAACCTTTTTTATATACATGTGTTAGAAGATTTTCTTATTTTTAGCTTAAAATTTAATAAGGGGGGATATCATCCTGAAATTTTGTGAAAAACGATACAAAACTCTTAATTCTCTGACAAATAAAAACTCCTTCCTGAATACTGATAAATTTTTATCCCAAAATTCTAACACTTAATTGAAAATCACACAATCAAATCCCCCAAAAGGTTCTTTCAACCCTCTTTGAAGGATCAAACTTATATTGGGCATTGACATAAACTATATATCTTTTTAAACATAAGTTTTTTGTGTACATGTAGATATACAATGTATTTAAACTATTATTTTTACATGAATTAATGTATCATTTTTTCATATTTTTTTTTAAATAGGGAGGAGTTAATACTCATTGGCTCTATAGGAAAATATTTCCTGAACAATCAGACATTTACTATTTCTAAACTGACCTATAAATACAAGAATTATTTTTTAGATAGTACGTAGAATCCAAGAACAGATTTCACACTTTCTTGTGCTTTTATGTCTTCTCTATCTTTATAGGGCTTACAAGTATTTGTTTATAATACGTATACACTTCAGATAGAAAAGATTTTACTTTAATCATTTTTCCAAATGCAAAATGGACTAACTTACACATTAACTGCATTCATTTACCTAATGCAAAGTAAAGGGAAATTACTCACTTACCCTTCCCAGACCTAGTGTTTCCTTAAAAAAAAAAAGTGCATTTATGAAGCCCTGCTTATAGTGGATACAGATCATTTATCTAATTAACACATTGCCTCATCAGCCAATGCTCTGAATATAAATTTATCTACATGTATATACTAAATAAAAAATATGAAATACAGCTGACCATGAAACTTTAACAAAGACTCTAAGATTAACAGTTTTCCATCTAATAAAACAATGTGACTAGAATGTATTTGCTTCATTCAATAAGTTCTTTAAAACATCTCACTCTGCTTTTGATATTAGTTTTACACAAAACATCTAGGTAAACCAAGGACAGCACAAGATCTTCCATATATTCTTGACGTGAAACTTTCAACAATGTCGATCTCATCTTTCAAAGGATCGTACAGCTGTATTAATGTAGACAGATAATGTTCTCCATTGATACCACCTACAACATAAATCTTGTGATCAATCACACACACACCGGCTTCCCGAATGTTCAGACTTCTTTGACACAGAGTCCATTGATTGACAACTGGGCAGTACCTCTCAATAGCAATCACAGGTACAGGGAAGCCATAATTGTCTTCAACATTGCCACCTATTACATATAAATTGTTTTGCACTTCTGCCATTGAATGGTTCATTCTCATCTGTAACATGGGTGATCTTTCTTCCCAATTATCTAACTGTGGGTCATAGCAGAGAAATTTTTTGGTGCTTCCTGTCAATGTCTGTCCTCCTGATACATATATTTTTCCCAGGCAAACTGCACCAGCATGCCCATATAAATGTCTGTCAAGTGGACATTTAAATTCCCATTCATTTCTAGCAATATCAAAGCATTCCATTGTGTACATGACCTTATTTTCATCTTGACCAGCTATTGCATAGAGTTTATGATCAACTGCTACCAATACAAAATCTTTGCGAGGTTCATTCATGGCTGCCAAATCATACCATCTATCAAAGCGAGCATCATATCGAAAACATCTAGCTGTAGCAATTTCATTTTGACTACTATCATATTTTCCACCACAGGTATACATGAAATTATCAACAACAACAACTGCAGGATTATACAAGGGTACTATAGTATCTCTCAAATAATCACGCCTCTTTGTTTTTAATGTATAATGTTCAAGATTTTGAGCATGGCACATGACAATAGATTTCATATCAGAACGGACTTGTGTTCTTTGTGTTTGAAGCATAGATTGTTTGCCAACAACAATATGATAATCTTTAGCCTCTGTCAGTAATAGGGAACATTCTCGATTCTGTTGCATGACTGGTACCAGACTAACCTTTTCTACCAATTCCTCTCCCGACAATAATGGCAGTCTAATATTTCTCATCAATAAAGCTACACAACCTTCTCTTTCTAATGGACTGTGTGCAATCCACTTCAATAACATTTGAAATAGACAATATTCTGACATGATCTTAAGGCTGTTTTCTTGCAATAATGATGAAAGCTGGGATGTGGATAGTGTGTAATATTGTTCAGTGTCAGCTACAGTTTCAAAATTTCCTAAAATAAACTTCTTCGCAATTGAATGGAGTATTGAGAGACTGTAAAGTTCAGCAAGATTTAAAATGTCTACACAATTACCAACAGTAATAGAAGACTCTAAATATTTGCTGCAAAGAGTTACAGCATCGTTTATTTGTAAATGTGTTGCTGCTGCTAGAACTTCTTCAACATTATCAGAATTTAATTCCAGTACACCAGTATATGCAAATTCCACTATAATCTCTAAACCACATCCTGAAATGCCTTTCAAATCCACACTGTCTTCTCTGCTTTCTCTCATATTACCTATATTAATGAAAACTGACTAATTGATTACTAAAATTTTCATAATTTTACATAAATCTCAAAGCAGTAAATTTGTTTTTTGAAGAATAAAGACTGTGGGCTTTTGAGAAAGTGCTAAATTAGCATTACCACTCTATGTTCATGTGCTAGTCCCAAGTCAAAACTAACTACATGTAACCTTGTCAGTGGTTGCCTGTTGTTATACCGGATTGATTTTGTCATTTGGGGGATTTTATGTTGATTCCATTACATTTATTCACAATTATTTAAACTACTGATGAACTGTGGATGGAGGAAAATTTGTATGTTTGTACATACTGTATTTCATGCTGCAGACAAGCCTATCTGTAGGAAATCTAATTTCATTGAACACTTAAAATCATGGTTCATATATGTATATGCAAGAAAATTTATTCCTCATAAATGATTATGAATTCACAGTACAGTATTCAAATAGTTAACATTGTCGCCAGATTAGAATCCTTATGTCTCACAGTCTGCATCTGTTTTTGCAGGTGTGGCAAATAAGAGACTGCTGCTCTTATAACATTCTGGCTTGTTCAATATAAATGCATAATACCGTACTTATTCCAGTGGGTATAGCACACTTCTGATATAACTTTCATCAATTAATAACAAGAAGAAAGTTTTTGAAGGCAAATTGATTAAAAATAATGTGAGCTTCAAAATCAAACAGATATTATAAGACTTAAAAAGTCATAACCATTTAAGTGAAGTTTCACCTAAGATGCAATCTAATATTGTGTAAGTATATTTTGTTTGTTCATGATGGAGATTCTCAATTAGATATAGTCAATTGTGTGATGTCATGATTGAATTTTAAATCAATGGAGTTCATGGAAAACCAGTCACGCCATTTAATGAGTGTTGACTAAATAATTTTCAAAAAAGCTTTCTGAAATATATATCTGTCCAATCATTAGAGAAAATAACATTACCTGTAAGCATAACTTGAAAGTAATCACTGCAAGCAGCCATCACAGCTTTATGGACATTAAGTCTTGTTCCATCAGCATACAAGGCATAATCGCATAATATACCACCTTTCCTGAGGTCTTGTAAGCCTTTCATAACTTTGGAGCAATAGTTTTTTGCTACCAATGACATACTGATGTTGTCTATGTCTTCACATAAAGGTTGTCCCATCACAGCATCTGATGTTGATGGCCTTGCTTGTTTCCTTGGTGAAAGAGGCATGACAACTCTATTCTTAAGGTTCAGCTGAGGTCAATATCAAAGAATTCTGAAAAAATACAATCAATCTAAGTACACAATGTACCAGAAAAAAAACAATTATAATTAATTGATTAATTGATTGGTGTTTAATGCCACTTTCAGCACTATTGTGCTATTTCGTGGCTTTCAGATTTTATTGGTAGTGGAAGCCAGTGCCCTGAGAGAACCACAGTCCTTCTGCAGGAAATCTGACAATCATAGTCAATTAGGATTGGAGTTGAGAGCACCTGCCCTCATGCAGGATTCTTACTCACAACCTGAGTGTTGACATGCTAGTGATACAGCAGTAGGACTACTTAGACCACTCGGCCGCCGAGGCCCCTATGAAACAAATATAAAACTGATCCAATGGAAGGCTAAACAATCAGATGTTATTTTGAAACTAGATCAGAGCACCTGAGTTACATTGGTTTTTGTTGGGATTCATGTGCTCAACTTTAGCTTTCTGTTTAGTGTTTGGAAAAAATTCTAAGATATACATTTTTTGTATGTAGAATTCAAACGTTTCAGAAAATTAAAAACTTGACTTGATTTTGCTGTGCACTTTTTTTCGTTCCTACAGAAGGTGGCAAAATAAACCAAGTTGAGGGAGGTATTTCAGAACTTCCCCATAGGTAATATTTAAAGTGAACTGATAGACATGGACAATACAGGGACAATGTATATATGTAAATTCCTCCGATATGCGAAGCACCCCTCAAGAGCTGCGAGGGTACAGTGGAATCTGTGTATACTCTATAAGGGTTAATGGAGATGTGTCACTAACTTATAAACAACCCACCATCACGGACAATCCCTAACCCAACATCAAGGGAGTGTTAGCACACCAGGAAGACTGTATGGCGGAGGAATCCGAAAGGAAAGAACCACTGGGCTTCTCGGCGGAAACAGACAAACCTAAGAGATATCTACAGATTGATCTCCAGGTCAAAGTCAGGGTCCACTTAACGAGGCCCCCAAAGTACCCATTCTAGTTAAACTCTGGTCTAGGTACCAGAGATGTGTTTGGGAGGGTGAAAATCCCTGGTACCGCCACAGAAGCCAGATTGGTTCAGGCCAGATGAACGAAAAGCAAATGGGTACCCCTTTATTTATTTTTCTTTATTATTTCCTTTAATACCTATATACTTGCTTTATATATTTTTGGTTCTATCTTATAAATTACTATTTTTCTTGTGCCCACTGGAAGCATTAATTATTGGTCAAGATTGACAGTTCAACGTACAATGTAGATGTAGATTGATATCTGACAACAATAGGTGATTTAAACTGTGTTATTCAGAGTGAGCCATATCAAGGGAACCTCAAGTGTTTGTTAATTTTATCATTTGAAGCTGGTCAGGATGAAAATTGTACACAGCAATATCCATTTAAATTTTTAATTAGTTTAAACATAAAATGCATACATGTATATGAATTTTATTTACATTTATCTAGGTCATGCTATATATAAATTTCCTTAAAAACGTTTCCAGATGCAAAGGTTTGGCTGCACACAGTCAGTTTTGTGGTGTAAACACAGCAATGTTTGTCAAAAAGTCCAGATGAACCTTAACTGAAAAGAAGTTTAAAAACTTATCTTTGAGAGTTTAGAAATTTTGTGCAGCTGTGTGTGAGATCTGAGGCTAAGCTGAACAACAGAAAGAGACGATAGAAAAAGATATTGTACCGTTTTTCTATTTGGGCAGATAAATAGAGGTTAATAAATTCAAAATTTATCGGGATATCCTACATTAATTGTTGTACACTGGGCTCCAAAATGCTACTGTCTTTGAAACTCAACTATCAGCTGTCAAAATACAAAATATCAACAATTTTAAATGATGCTAAATAATGACTTACGAATCCGGACTTATTATTGTTTGTAGATCTTTTTTTCGTGCACAAATATTCAATCTATTAGTAAACATTTTTTTTAAATTTCAAAATGTTCACACGATTGTAAATAACGAAACAAAATGAATTTAGATATACTTCGTCTAAAATGAATATTTTACATATATGCACAGTTCCATAATTTTGGTTCTCCCTAATAAACAATATCAAGAAGAACGATAACTCGGTTGAAAAATTATTCAGCATAAAAGCCTAAGGAAGTGTTCCTGATACAGTACGTTAAGTTTCTGTTATTGACTATAAGTCGGTAAATAGGTAAAGTAAATCAACAGTTTGAGCTTATATAGGTAAAAATGAGCTATACAACTTAATTATCTCCCTTCGACTTTTTTCAGGACTTTTAGTTTTATAATGAATTTTTAAAATTATATGAAGATTATTTTTCTAAAGTGAAGAATTTGTATTTACCCTTTTGTTGTTTCAATGCAAACTATATGTTCATTTTTTATAGAAAGTAACAGCTTTGCCCACTATACTGCTACATAAATTTGTTTAAAAATCAAAATCAATAGACCTATTTATCACTATTTGGGATTTTGCTGCAATACACCTTATCGCTATTTGTCCGCCATTACTGGACATCACACAAGTTCCCGTAAAATTTTGACGTCATAATAGAAAATATCTGACGCCACAATGGAAAAGTGATTGTTGTATGACGTCAAAAGTTCGAGCGGGACTGATTCTCGGGTCAAGCGGGATTAGCGATAAGGTGTATACATCATCATTTGAACTATTGACACCATCATGATCATACATTTTTGTACATGTACAACAATCACTTTTGCATTGGGGTGTTAATTATTTTAGAATGTTTGTGATATCCAGTTATGACAGACAAATAGCAGTTATTAAGGTTTATAGTAAATACACCTTATCTCTATTTGTCTGCCATTACTGGACATCACAAAGGTTCCCGTAAAATTTTGACGTCATAATAGAAAATATCTGACACCATAATGAAAAAGTGATTGTTGCATGACGTCAATAGTTCAAGCTGCGCAGATTTACAAATAGCGATAAGGTGTATTGCTACAAGCAATGCTACCAATAGGCCACTTCACTGTTAGTTTGGCCATAACATAAGCAACACGACGGGTGCCACATGTGGAGCAAAATCTGCTTACCCTTCCGGAGCACCTGAGATCACCCCCAGTTTTTGATGGGGTTCGTGTTGCTTAGTCTTTAGTTTTCTATGTTGTGTCATCTGTACTATTATTTGTCTGTTTGTCTTTTTATTTTTGGCCATGGCGTTGTCAGTTTGTTTTCGATCTATGAGTTTGACTGTCCCTCTGGTATCTTTCGTCCCCCTTTTTGAATAGGGGCAGATTTTTTGGATAGAGGTGGAAATAGTATGATTGTACGTGAGATATACTATGCATGTTTCCAAGCAACTGTTCAGTTGTAAATATGTTTTCCCATATTTTTCAAACCATTTTTACCTCCATTATGAAAATCTGCCCCCTATTCAACATGGCTGAACTAACCGTGAAGGGGCCTATTATTTCTATAAAACAAGTTTTAAAAGATATATTTAATAAAAACAAATACAAATGTGAACCTATTCAAGTACACATTTAGTTTTAATAAGCTGGTGATCCCATAGGGGACTAGCAGTCCACCAGCAGCTGTATCCACCCTGAAAGGCTGAATGCAAGCTTGTGAATTTACATTTTTTGTAGTTCATGAATTCTCTTTATCTTTTCAAAAGATTGTAAACTAATTAGATGTGATTTTTTGCTGTAACAGTTTTCATATATTAAAGTTTGTGACTTTTAGTTCTACAATGTACATGTTTGACTTTTTGTCCTGGCCATTGCACTAGCAATTAGAAATTTTTGAAAAATTCATCATTCATGATACTAACCATCATTCATCATGTTCATGATACTTACCTGAAGCATACATGTGATGGACTGTGAAACTCAGATCAGGAGATTCGGATATTTTGGTCAGGAGATTAGGACTCAGATCAGGAGGTTTTTAATCGACATAAATTTTGTCGTAAATGTAACAGTGTGCTGTGAAAATTGTCTTTTAAAGTGTGTTTACTTCAACTTTCCATCCGAATGTATTATGTTTATAGTGCCCTTGTACTTATAAAGTTTCTCTGTCTTTATATTCTACATGTTCAATCTAACCTCCTTTTTTTATACGACCGCAAAAAATTTTGCGGTTGTATATTGGTATGACGTTGGCGTCGTCGTCGTCGTCGACGTCGTCGTCTGGCGTCGTCCTGCGTCGTCCGAAGACACATTGGTTTTCGCACTCTAACTTTAGTTTAAGTAAATGGATCTCCATGAAATTTTACCATAAGGTTCTATACCACGAAAGGAAGGTTGGGATTGATTTTGGGGGTTATGGTACCAACAGTTAAGGAATAAGGGGCCAAAAAGGGGCCAAAAATAAGCATTTTTGTAACTTCCAGACATAACTTGTGTGTTAGTGTATGGATCTCTCTGACATTGTACCACAAGGTTCCATATCACACAGGGAATGCTGTGATTGATTTTGGGGGTAATTGCCTCAAAATATTAGGAATTAGGGGCCAAAAAAGGGGCAAGAAACAAGCATTTTTCTAGTTTCATGACAATAACTTGTGTGTAAGTGTATGGATCTTTCTGAAATTGTACTACAAGGTTCCATATCACAAAGGGAAAGCTGGAATTGAGTTTGGGGGTAATTGCTCAAAACGTTTAGGAATAAGGGGCCAAAAATAAGCATTTTTCTAGTTTCCAGACAATAACTTGTGTTCAAGTGTATGGATCTCTCTGAAATTATACCACAAGGTTCCATATCACACAGGGAATGCTGGGATTGATTTTGGGGGTAATTGCCTCAAAATATTAGGAATTAGGGGCCAAAAAAGGTGCAAAAAACAAGCTTTTTTCTAGTTTCATGATAAAAACTTGTGTGTAAGTGTATGGATCTTTCTGAAATTGTACTACAAGGTTCCATATCACAAAGGGAAAGCTGGAATTGAGTTTGGGGATGATGAATCATAAGGGGGTTCAAAAATTATGGGGGGGGGTTTCCTTTTTTTTCTTTTTTTCCTTTTTTTTTCTTTTAAAATTTTCCATTTTAAGTTGGTTATTTCTGTTTTATATTTAAAAGCAAATAATAATGATATGGTAGGAGATACACACCAAACAGGATGTGTAAATTATTATATAATAAGTATTGTGCAATAGCAAGAAATTTTCAATTGCACAGTATTGCACAATAGCAAGAAATCTTCAATTGCACAGTATTGCGCCGCAATAGCAAGAAATCTTCAATTGCACAGTATTGTGCAATAGCAAGAAATATCCAATAGCACAATATTGCGCAATAGCAAGAAATTGTCAATTGTACTGTATTGCGCAATAGCAAGAAATATTCAATTGCACAGTATTGTGCAAAAGAAGATACTTCGTTTAAAATGGTTATTTCTTGACCAATTTCAATGGGTTTTTTTTCTTGAATTCTTGGGGTTCTTTAATATGCTGATTCTAACCACACGGTTAGAATCAGCATATTATATAGTGTATTAAGTTTTTGGATTTTCTCTTCAACGGGAGGTCTGGAGGAGACCCCTGAAAACGGGATTATTGTACTCCCGTCGGGAGGTTCACATGTATGCTGAAGAACCATACCAATTTTTTACAGATGCTAAGACTGTGCTATATTAGACTTATTATCTCAAAGGTAAATGAATAGAAAGTGACAGGACAATAAAAAATAATTGGGTCTCACTAATTGACAACAAGAATTGTCAAGAAGGCACAAGAGGACTAATTTAGCGCCAAGATGCCACCAGAAGACTTATTTAGTGACAAGAAAACAAATTTAGGGTCAAGAAATCTAACTATTAATTGTTCTAAGTAAATCAATATAGAAACATGCATTAAAGTCATACATTAAAGTGTTTTTTTTAAGATACATGTATCATGTGTACTAAAGTGATTTTCAAAATTTCACTATAATAATAGTCATGATAGAAAAAGAAAATGAACACTTATTCAAAGAAAGAGTCAACCTGTTATTTGCTGTAAGATATATATATATATAAGTAGCAGTAATCCATTTTTCTAAATTTATGAAGCTTTATTATATTTTTAACTATACTGAAATTGTATTATTTCTATGCAATACTCATCAACGTAACAGAAGAAAAACGATGCATAGTTTAAATACAACAAAATTCAAAATTATATATAGAACGACCATTTTCAAATGTAATCTATTGACTTTTTCTATAAATTTTTTTGTTTTAGTAGTATGTAAACTTTCTTGACACTAAATATGTCTTCTTTTTATGCCCCCGCAACTGAAAGTTGGAGGCATATTGTTGTTGGGGGGGAATATTGTTTAACCCCTGTCCGTCCATTTGTCCGTCCTTCTGTCCATCCCATTATGGTTATATAGCAATTCCAGATAACTCCTCCTATGTGTAGTTTGAATGCTAGGAAGTTTTCACTTTGCTGGCTGTTTGTACATATATTGAAGGTGTGCATGTGGTTAGGGTTTTGATTTTTATTAATATTTGCTCTTTTGGGAGATAGTTGAACTTTTTAATTATTTGGTGTATTTACTTGCATACATGTAAGAGTTGCATAGCGTTCCGGATAACTCCTCCTACAGTGAACCATAGACCTATGTTCTCCTGTGCTCAACTTTGTGTATTTTAAAATAACACTTTGCATCTGTGGGGGCATCATTTGTGTCTCCCAGACACAATAATATCTCAAAGAAAGTCCTACATTGACTTTGTTATAATACAGTTACTTCAGAGTGGAGTGCGGGGGCATCGCTTTGTCTAGTCTCTAATTGTTTTCTTTATGTCGCTTCCGAATGCTTCTTGTCGCTAAAATGCTTCTTGTTCCTAATTAGTGAGACTGAAAAATTCCATCCACAACCATAATTCAGTGATATGGCTATCTTAATCATTGTAATTCCCATGGTATGATGCTAGATATTTTACCTTGGTTCTATCTGAATGGATTTTTATAATAGAATGTATTATAAATGTGATGCAATAATTTTAGGGAAACTCTGCTATTTTCAAATGATCAAATCCCGTGGTGCTGTATAAAAATACTGGTGAGAACACTGAATGTGTTGTTTGATAGAATTGTTTTTATATATGTATGGTATATTAATAGTTTTTTAAATCACCAAAGAAGATTATGTTAGACATACATGTATGCATTAAGATTTACAAAACAAACTATTAAACCAGAACAGTACATTTTTGTAAATACTACTAAATAGACACATTAAAATTATTAATCTAGATGAGAATTTT